TCAAAAATGCACTATTTTTAAAGGATTCGATACGCACCTAATGACATTTTTGAAGAGTCCGAGCAACATAGATCTTATCAATTCATCAATTGGCATGGTGATCATCAATAGTGTTTGTCATACCAACAACGAAGTCCAGCAAACTTATAAGTTCAGGGACATTCTCATTTGGCCTTTCATACTCCAATGTCCAGCTTATCAAATCGATTTCGTCTTTTGTTTCGATATGAAAAGTTGCTTTAAAACTATCATATTTATCTGTTACATCTCCTTCAAATTCTTTGAGTATGAGCACCTTATTTTCATGATCTACAACTTCAAGTATTTATTTAGAGATCTTATTTTCCCCATTTGCTTACAAAAAAAAAGAGTTGGAAATGAGAAACAACATGTATAGAGTTGACATGTTAAAAAATCATCTAAAGAGTTTTATCTCAATCATAATCGCTAAAAATTCTAGTAAAAAGGTAGGTTAAACGCATTCCCCTACCCATTAAACTTAGATCATGAGGAGCCGGATGACATTTTAGTCAATACTAAAAGCGTAAATGAGTTAGGAGCGAAGAGTGTTCGAGAAGGTTCAATTGGCCGAAATGAATTTATAGATTTGCAGATTTATTGACATCAAATTCGTAAAAAGAACCAAAATTTTCAAGTAGGTTGTGGATGATAAATCTTTGTAAACGCACTGCACTTTTATAGACTGCACCCACTACTCCATTTTGATAGTAATTTCTTATCTATTTTTTGTGTTCGATATGAAAGTAAAATAAAATAATATTATTTTAAAAAACATCTGTATATATCCAAAACAAAATTATGAGGATGGAATGAGTATGAGAGGGGAGGGCATGCAAGGGTGGGTGGGTGGGGCTTATTAGGGCATTTTTGAATGTTTAGCTTACCAAGGGTATAGGTCCAACAAATTGGATCCAACAGTTCCAATGTCATCTTCAAGAAGATCAAAACCTTGTACATGCAAAGGGGACATAGTAGAGACATGATGTGGTTTATTTGTAAAAACATCATGAAACATATCCTTGTTAGCCTTCATTTCTATCTTGGCACACAACACAGATTTTAGACCCATTTTACTAAAGACTTGAAAATAAAAAGATGTAGTGACACTATAATAAAATTGTAGAGGACAAGTGTACTTGATAGCATTTACAATGATTATTCAACAATATATATAGACTGGAAGGGGGAAGGGAGGGGCTTTTTATAATCCTTTTTTAAAGTCAAAGTTGGTATAACATCTTAATCTTGTCCTTACAACTTGTATAACTACATTTCTCAAGAAAAGTGACATAAATTTCATTTTTCATGCACTTGTGTCGTTACTTGTAATATATATACTATTCAATCATGTTTCAACCACTTCTAGAGAATATATACTTACTATTTTAAAAAGAAATGTTTATAATGCAAAATATAAGCTCATGCATGAGCTAATTATTAGATACATTGCAATATTATGAATCTGATCAGATTTTAGTTCATTCAGATATGTCATCATAGGGTCAAAATTAGGTTTAGTAATTTGTTCTAGATACATTTTATCCAAGTGGATTCATATGTATCTAGCTAGGATACATAGACAAATCTCGCTTGCATTTTTTCCTCTTCATTTTCGACTCTCCTATCTCGATCGCGTGTCTAGTATTCCAGATACATGTGAATCACACTAGAATCATATATGTAGTGTGATTCGCATGTGTCAGGAATACATAGAAAAATCTCGCTCACCTCCCTTCTGTTCTCGCTCACCTCTCTCCATATTTCAGTGAATCTGGTAACAAAAAACATGTATCTAAGTGTATCTTATATGAATTATTAATTAATAATATAGAATATCATTATTTCAAACTGTAAAAAGTATTAGTAAATATGAGAGAGATATTTATTCCATTAGGTAGTTTCTCCAGAATTTATTTGAACTAATAAGATAAAGTCGTTTGTTTAATTAAATAAGTTAGCAATTGTTATGTCTGGTATAAAAGGTATTTTTAGATTAAAAAGCCGTAAAAAATATTTTTTATTAAATAAATAAATAAAAATAAAATATTTTTGAACTATTTATGGTACATTCAGTATGATATCTTACACCTTGTTTGGATGGTTGTTACCCATTGTATCGTATTGTATTGTTAATTTAAATATTTAACAGAAAAGGGTCTAAAATGCCCCTCGAGTATTTGAATTGGTACAAAACTATCCTCCATCCACCTATTGGCTCTAAAATACCCCTGACGTCCACCTTTCGGCTCAAAAATACTATCAATGTTAATCCTTTGACTCATATTTGTCCTTATTTTTAATAGCTCCCTTAAAGTAAAATTATTAAATATTTATTTATTATATTGCTTAATGTGTTGGGTCCAAATTTAAATACTTCTCAAATAAATAATAAAAATAATATTTAAAAAAATTCTATTTTTCTACAAAACCACTTATGATTCATATTTTGACCCGATACACTTGAAAATAATATTGAAAAAATAATTAATTGCATGATATATTCCTATTGGCTTATTTAAAATCAACCCCAATTTATTATAACGTTACTCAACTCATAAATGGGGATCCAACTAAAATCCATACTTACCCCGACTAATTGTCCATCTAAAAATATTATTATTTTCATTAATATAAAATTTTTCTCTCAATTATCCAAATGAGAGTTCATTTTCTCTTTTATTCTTTTTTTATCTCTTATTCTTAACTAGGATATCCGGGACTCAAACTTGAAATGAACTCACATATTTATATTCTTTTAATTAGTATTATTGTCATGATGGATGAGGATGGGGATAAAAGAAATGATTATTTTTATTCTTTTATTTTTAATTTTGGGTACACGCAAAAGAAAAATGTAATATTTGTACATATTTGCTTAATTAAGTCATCTTTTATTGAACTAATTGTTTCTATATGAATGTATCGTTATTTTCCTCATTTTTTTTCTCTCTTGTTTGTCCTAAATTTAAAAAAAAAACTTAAAATTGTGGACAAGATCCAAATAGAATTTTTTTTTTGGAAGAGATAGGAAGTGAAGGGTCGGGGAGGGAGGAGTGTAGAGAGTAGATGCCTAACCTTTTTATAATTTTAAATTTACTATGAAATTCAAAATCAAGTCAATCATGTGAACTTATATATTAAGTAATTGTAAATTATTTTAACGGAAAAGGGCCTAAAATGCCCTTAAACTATGAGATTTGGTACAATATTGCCCTCCATCCACCTAATGAGTATGATCCGTTAGACATAAGAGTATTTTTGAGCCGAAAGGTGGACGTCATGGATATTTTCGGGCCGATAGGTTGATGGAGGGTAATTTTGTACCAATTCAAATACTTGAGGGGCATTTTAGGCCCTTCTCCGAACATTTAAATACAATATTTGTTTTGATTGTCACTTAAATATGTTGAATCGTATCGTTTAAATCTATCATTAGATAACGACAAAAAGACTCAATTTCATTTAATGTAACGATCGATTTGGTGTGATCGTGTCGTTACCTTAATATTTTCTTCTCATTTTGTCTTTATTTATTATATAATAATCAAATTTCATCTTTTATTCTACTTTTTCATAGTAGCTCTACCTCGTACCCTACTTTTCTTGTAAATCTATCATTTAAATTATAGATGTGTGTCATTATGCAACGAGAACGATACAATCTATATATCCAAACATTATATTCATTAAAGCAATATAAAAAAAATATAAAATAACATAATACAATACAATACATTATGAAACAATATGTAATAACCATTCAAACAATTAAAGCGTAAGCTATCAACATCAGAATCCAAAGAAGATAAAGAAATATATTTGTCTGATTAACAAACAAAAAGTAATTAACAATTTAAAATATCTAAAAATCAAATTAAAATTTAATTAACTTTCTAATTCTATCTGTATCACATAAATTAAAATAAAAAAATAATAGATATTGAGTCCGTACTAGCACGAACACATTTATCTAGTATAAATTAATAAAGAGAGTCTTGCCTCAGATTCATGCATTGAATATACTAAAAAAACTAAAATTCTTCCTTTTTTTTGTGCATGTTTCTAATTCCTTTGAATTACCATTCCTTAATTCCTTTGAATTACAGTTTGTGTAGATAATAAAAGAATAGATAGAAAGGTATACGTGGTTAATTTGTAATTGTTTTTGTGAAAATTAATAATACAGTTTTTCTTTAAAAAATTAAATAAATTAAAGTTGTGTTGTCAACTTACAAGCGTTCATAAATCAGAATTTTATAATTAAAAAGACGGGTGAGAAAAAAAGATTGAAATATAATTTACTTTTAAAAAAATGTTATACAATATACTTGCAAACAATTTTTCAAATTCACGGACGCTTATGAATTGACAACATGACATCTAAAAAAAAATTTAAAAGTAAGATTCGTTTTTTTCTACATGGCTAATAAGTTAAATAAGTACTGTTTTATTTTGAATTTTTTTTTTTTTAAAGCTTGTGGTCTAAAATAATTTTTAAATATTAGTATAGTTATAAATCATTTTATTATTAAAAAAAAATAAAATTAAATTATTTCGTAAAAAGACCTTTTTAAAAGAGACCAAAAAATGGTGCTAAATGAAACTAGATGACAAATAGATCAGGCCGGGTTAAACAAAGTGGGTCCTAAAGGAATTGACTATTTCAAAGTGACGTAAGGTCATTTGATTTTAAGCTTTTACACATGTTTTTGTATTTAAATAAAGACAAATATAAATATCAAATTACAATAGAAGTATATTTAAACTATTTCTGATGGTTAAAAAATATACGATCTTTTTAAAGAAAATTAAGAAAAAATATCACTATATAAATTAGGAGGAGGCGAAGATCAATATATATAAACCTCACACCCATGTCTTATTACACAATACAAAGGTTAACAGAGTTGACAATATATCATTTACATGAGAAAGACACAACAAACATCAAAAAAGTACACAACCAACATGGACAAATTAAACAACAAACAAAGCATAGGGTATTTATGTAAAGCTCACATGCATATATATGATCCCATCCTAAGTTGCTCGGACTCTCCTAAAATGTTGTCACATATGTGTTCGATTCTTTAAAAATGCACTCTTTTTTTTAAGGATTCAACATGCATTTGATGAAATTTTTGAAAAGTCCGAGCAACATAGATCTTAACAATTCATCAATTGGCATGGTGATCATCAATAGCTTTGGTCATACCAACAATGAAGTTCAGCAAACTTATAAGTTCAGGGACATTCTCATTTGGCCTTTCATATTCCAATGTCCAGCTTACCAAATCGATTTCGTCTTTTGTTTCGATATGAAGAGTTGCTTTAAAACTATCATATTTATCTATTACATCTCCTTCAAATTCTTTGAGTACGAGCACCTTATTTTCATGATCTATAGCTTCAAATATTTGTTTAGAGATCTTCTTTTCCCCATCTGCCTTACAAAAAAAAGAGTTGGAAATGAGAAACAACATATATAGAGTTGACATGTTAAAAGACCATCTAATTAAAGAGATTTATCTCAATCATAATCGCTAAAATAGTTGAAAAAACTATCGCAGAAACTTCCAGAAAAAGGCAGGTTAAAGGCATTTTCTTATCAGTTGAACTTAGATGAGGAGCCGGATGACATTTTTAGTCAATACCAAAAGTGTAAATGAATTAGGAGCGAAGAGTATTCAAGAAGATTCAATTGGCCGAAATGAATTTTTAGATTCACAGATTTATCGACATCGAGTTCATAAAAATAACCAAATTGTTCAAGTGGGCTGGGGATGATAAATCTCTATAAACGCACTGGACATTTATAGACTGCACCCACTACTCTTCTTTGATAGTGGTTTCTTATTTATTTGTTGGGTTCGATATGAAAGTAAGAAAATATTATTTTAAAAACATTTGTATATATCTAAAACAAAATTATAAGGATGGAATTAGTAGGTTGGGAGGGGAGGGAAAGGGTGGGGTGGGGATTATTAGGACATTTTTAAATATTTAGCTTACCCTGAGTATAGGTCCAACAAATTTTGGATCCAACAGTTCCAATGTCACCTTCAAGAAGATCAAAACCTTGTACATGCAAAGGGGACATAGTAGAGACATGGTGTGGTTTATTTGTAAAAACATCATGAAACACATCCTTGCTAGCCTTCATTTCTATCTTGGCACACAACACAGACTTTAGACCCATTTTACTAAAGACTTGAAAATAAAAAGATATAGTGACACTATAAGAAAATTGTAGAGGACAAGTGTTGATATCCTTTATGATGATTATTCAACAATATATATATAGGAGGGGCTTTTTTTAATCCTCTTTTAAAATCAAAGATGGTATGACATCTTAATCTTGTCCCTTGCGACTTGTATAACTACATTTCTCAACAAAAGTGACATATATTTCATTTTTGGTGCACTTCTATCAATACTTATAATATATATATACTATGCAATTATGTCTCAACCACTTTCTACTATTGATGCTATGCAATTATGTTTCAACACTTCTAGAGGATACATACTATTTTTTTTGTAAAAAAAAGAAATATTTATAATGCAAAATCTAGGTTCGTGCATGAGATAATTATTTAGCTATGTTAGTAATATTATGAATCTGATCAAATTTTGGCGTGTTCAAATATGTCTAAATACATATATTTCAGAATCATGGGATCAAAATTAGGTTTATTAATTTATTCTAGATACATTGTATCCAAGTAGATTTGCATGTATCTAGCTAGGTTACATAGACAAATTTCTCCCGCATCTCTCCCTTTTCATTTTACACTCTCCTATCTCGCTTGCATATCTAGTATTTCATATACATGTGAATCACACTAGAATCATATATCTAGTGTGATTCGCATGTGTCTGGGATACACAGACAAATCTCGCCCATCTCCCTCCTGTTCTCCCTCGCTTCTCTCCCTATTTCCTTGAATTTGATAGCAAAAACATGTATTTAGGTGTATCTGACTTAAAATCTGGTATGGAACTATTAATTAGTAAGATAAAATGTAATTATTTCAAACTATAGGAAGAATTAGTAAATATGGTAGAAATATTTGTTTATTAGATAGTTTCTCCAAAATTTATTTGGACTAATAAGATAAAGTCATTTGTTTAATTAAATACGTTATCAATTGTTATTTCCGTTATAAAAGGTAATTTAGATTAAAAAACCGTAAAAAATATTTTTTATTAAATAAATAAATAAAATAAAATATTTTTGAACTAAGTATTGTATGTTACACTTTGTTTGGATGGTTGTTACCCGTTGTATTGTATTGTTGTTAGTTTAAATGTAATATTTGTTTTGACTGTTACTTAAATTTTATTGTATCGTATTGTTTAAATTCATCGTTAGGTAAATGTAACGATCAATTTGGTGTGATCACGTCGTTACCTTAATATTTTCTTTTCATTTTGTCTTTATTTATTGTTTAATAATCATATTTCATCTTTTATCCTACTTTTTCATAGTAGCTCCACCCCGTACCCTACTTTTTTTTATAGATCTATCATTCAAATTATAGATGTGTGTCATTATGCAACGAGAACGATACAATCTATATATCCAAATACGATATTCATTAAAACAATACAATACATTACGAAATAATACGTAGCAATCATCCAAAGAAATAAGCTATCAACATCAGGATCTAAAGAATATAAAGAAATAGATTTGTCTGATTAACAAACAGATACAATAATAACTTTAAATATTTTCTTTGGGTTATGAAAGTCAGAGCAAGAACAGATCAAGCAAGATATGTTATTTTATTCATTTCTTTGATCAAGCAATAATATTCTGTGTCTACTCATTGATGTTTCCACTTTTATCATGCATAACGTGGGGGAGATCTTGGAATTGCAATAAGATCCCCGTATAATGGAGAAGTGTTCCTTAATAAGAATTTTCGTATATTTAAGAGTTGAATTTGAAATTTTAGATTAAATTGTGAAATAATTATATATAGATATAATAATGTAATAATGATGATAGTTGAATTCTCTTTAATGAAAAATTGCACAGAGTATATAAATTAAATATAGTAGTTGATTATATATTAAGTCTTAAACTCTCTCGATCCATTTAAAAAAAAGAAAAAGAAAAATAGTATTGTGTTTAAGGGTATTCAAAATCAGCTATTGCTATTACTAACTTATCATTTTTCGACTCGTAAACTTGATTGTGATTCATGGAGTTATTTTATATAAAATATTAAAAATTTATAAATTCTCTCTGTCACAGTATATATATATATATATAATATATATATATATATATATATATATATATTCGCTCTTCAGTTTATATTAAGTGAATTGTTGAGGTATAATATATATTTTGAAAAAATATTCTAGGATATAAATAAAAGGCTACTTTCCATTACTATTATCCTTTTTATCATTTCTAAACTATTCTCCTACAAAATATAAAATAATCTGTAACAAGATTAAATGAAACATAAATATATATAAAAAAATGTTTTTAAACTTTGAACAATTCACTTATTTGGATTATTAAAAAAAAATCCAATATGGACTAGTGGGAGTACTATACTACTATCTTTTTTTCTAAAATAAGGTATTATTTTGACGAAAAATAGACCATTTCAAAATAAGTGTTATTTTAAAAATTTAAGATAAAAAGTAGTAATTGTTTTCCATTATACTTTTTTTGTAACTTTTTTAATTCTAAATCTTCACATGACATGCTTAAGATCATAAAATTAAAATATATTTAGTATATTTGACACATTTTTAGTTTGAAATCACAAAATTCATTATTTTTTTAAAACTGTATGTCAAAATAAAATATGACATATAAAGTATAAAGTAAAATGAAAAAAAAAAGTATCTTATATTTTCCTTTAGTGGATGTAAATAAATAAAAAATATTTTGAGACGGCAAAATAATAAATTTTCTATGGTTTCTATGTCAACCAATCTTGTATCAAATTTATTATCTGAAAACATCATCAGTGACATCATGACAACTGCTTCTTAAGTATGAACTAATCTGTAATGACCCGTAGGATATTTTTGAGATTTTTCACATAAAATTAGCATTTTACCCCTCTTGATAGTTTTTTGAGTAATTTTTGATTAGTTGGTAAAGTTGATTTGAAAATTTTGAACTATTTGATAACTATGATTATTTAATAGAAAAATTACAGAAATCTCACATTTTAGTTTACTTATTACCATTATTCCTTATAAGTTTTACAAATTTCCAAAATCCTCATTTTCGCTCATCAGATTAGTGTATCTCCCGCATCAGATTTGTGTATCATGTATAAAATGTACATCAGATTAGTGTATCATGTAAAAATGTAATGTATCTTACTTAACGATAATGTATCTCGCGCATCAGATTAATATATCAGTGCTTATATTATTGTATCCGTTTGAGG